TTCTATTTAGTAAAAGTTTAAAAATACATTTTTATCATGAATTTAGGGAACCTTACCATTTTAACACAATGGTACCCACAAAGTTAGCATTCCTAAGGACATGCAATGTGGCCTCTGTGGTGACATCATAAACAGATCATCTAAAACTGACTTTGTTCTATATAGTACTCTAAAAAATTCCAGTACACTACAGCTTTAACAACCAAACAGAAAACAAAAGCCAAGAGCTCCAGAATTACACCTCCTCTTCTACGGAGTGTTGCTGGGGTGTACCAAGTCCTGTAGCCCAACAGAGAGTGAGCTGCTGCAGCTCCATGTTGCCAGGTCCAGTCAATAGTAAAGCTGAGCATGTATCCCTAGCCCCTCACTCTGCTGGCTGGTGTAACTTGATGTTTGCAGGCAATTGCACACTGACACACAGTCCCAACACCGAATGGACACAGTCCGGACTCTCCAGCCACAGGCACTCGGGATGCACAGGCCCCTGTAACTCGTAGTGCTCTCCCCAATGGCTGGCACTTACATCTCATGCACACAGCAGAGAACAAAACTGTTTTTCCCTCACCCAAAAGACACAGAGCTTAATAAAAAGACAGACGTGATACATCATTACAGGCCACATACTAATGAAGCCCAGGGCATGGAGAGACATGTAGACCGACTTGCAATCTGTTTACAGGCAGTTGGCCACCTTTAGCATCTTTCACCTCTCCCCACCACCCCTCACACTTCTTTCCTAAACCACCTTGATCCCCCCACCCGCCCCGTCTTTGGCCCTTCCTTTATTCATCCCAAAGTAAGCCTTGTGCAATCCCTGCAGACTGCCACCGCCCCCACCCCGTAAGCTCTGGTGGCTGTCATGGGACAAATCTGGCAGGGGTTCATTTCTCTGGGTTTGTTAAGCTGTTGCCCCACCTTGTTCCCCTGTGCTCCTCTGTGCATGGAGATGAGAATTCTCACATAATCTAACAAGTTAGATAAGTGTGTGGAGAGTTAATAAGTACTTGGACAGTTAATAAGTACTTTGTGGACCTGAAGACACAAGGAGTATATAGGTTCACTGTAGTCAAGATTTCCAACCCAGGGAAAATGCAGGAACTTAAGCCAAGTATACCATTCTGCCCAATTTTGCCAAAAATTAAAGCTTCCACCTTACCACAATGTTAAGTGATTCTACCTCAACTTCCATCAAATTTTTAGTTCATCGGTCTCCTACCTCACACTGCAAGTATCAAACAGCATTGCTTTAAGTTTTCCACAAGTCTCAAGGGACTTTAGGTTTCTTTTAGTGTTCTCTTATCAGGAAACAATATTCACATCTTTCATAGAAGAAAAGTTAAAGGGAAGTATTTAAAAATAAAGACAAACTTTCCAGGGTATAGAAACTTTTCCATTTCCCACATCACTTAACTCTTTGTTGCGAATACTGGGGGAAAAAATGGTATTTAAGACTGATGGAAACAAGGTCTATTCAAGCCAGTAGCACATACGAACTCATGATGCAGTATGGTGAAGTACTGGTATTTTCTTCCTCTTATACAGAAAGCATTTGGGAGTACAACATGTAGTTCATCTCAAAAGTCTAAGGAAACTTACTTCAAAGTCTTATGGGCATCCAAGTACATCCTGGAAGTCTGGCTCTCAGTTTTAAAAGTGTCAGAGGAAACTATAACAGTGCACAAAACACCTTTGAATGGATGAGATTGTAGTGAGGCAACTAAGAGTGTAAGATCCACCTATCTAGGCTTGTAGACTAACTGCTAGATCTACAAAAACCCAAACTCCTGTCAAATTATGTCACTCCTGCAATTAAAGCACATTACCTCTAAGATAAAACTCACCATCCTGAATAAGGCACCAAAGAGTCCTTCTTCACTAAGTGGGATGCACAGCCATCCAGATCAGTGGTGCCAGGCTTGAGTAAACCAGTTTAAAAAAACCCAACAAAACAAGCCAACAACAACAAAAAAAATCAGCAGACACTGATACAATAAAAAGGAGTTTTTCTACTGAATTCGGACGCCTGATTGTTGTTTGAAGCAAGTGAATAAAAGAGAGGAAGGCCTGCAATTGTATTCTCTTTCCATTTTGAGCACCCTAATGATAAAACTACAGCATCAGCTTTTTTTCTTTGCCTATTTTCCTTCTGCACCCATTAAACTTGCCTTCTTAGCTGTACAGTAGCTCAGTTTCAAACAGAAGTCTGGAGAAATTTCATACACTCCTCCTCTCCTGCATAACTTGTTACAGCAACTTGACAGTACAGAACTCCATTCAGAAGTTGGAGATGTGGGTTAAAACCACCTCAAACTAAGGCATTTAATATAAATCTGCCACTTCCTGAGAAAGTGTTTTAACAATATGATTTATAAGCAAGCCATATAACTTATGTTTCAGCAAAAAAATGTGGTTGCTGACCATAACATCATAATTTGTGTATTAGTCATAGCCTAAGAATACTTACTAAACCAGATTCTCTAAGCAAGGCAGGTCTGAAATCCAAGTAACTGACAGGCACGCAAAATACCTGTGGTTCAGCTCTGCCCAGTGGAGCACCTTCCTGGGCCCATTCAATTCCCCGATCATCAGCACTTATCCAAAACCCCAGGTAGGAACAACAGAGCAGGTTACCTCAGTGCACCAGCTTCCAAAAACTTGAGGTGACACGGAGCTGAGGAAATATTTAGTCTACAACTATAGCCTTAAAAGTTACCATTACCACACATTTACAGTAGCAGGATTTTGTTTTAATTATAGAAGAAGTCACCTGACAGTGGTAGAACCAAATTTATGAAATATAGACAATAGTGTTCAAAATCATTAAATGATTTTCCTTTCTGCTTTGTAGATGTGTATCATTTAATTCCAGTCTAATAAAGAATGCATTCCAGCAGAGAAAAGCTGCTACAATGAGCCTCTAAAATGGCTATTTGCTTCTAAGGTTGTAAAGTAACTCTACTATATCTGAACAATAGTGATACACACTCCATGAAGAGTTAAAATGTAAAAATACAAACCCAGCTTTTCAATATTATGGAGACACTTTAACAAAAACCTACAATTAAAATACCAACTAAGTTTTATAGCTATGTAGATATTAATCTTTAGGCTGAAAGAACCAATCATTAACTTTCAAATTTGTTCAGTGCAATGAATCTAATATTGTGTGTTTCTCTTTCTTAGACTGGACTTCAAGAACTTTCTGACAGACCCTTGCAGCCATGGTATGCACCAGTTTCTTCATGTGCTGCCAAGACAGAAGCAGAATTGAACAGAAAAACCAAGAAATGTTCTGAGTTCTAGCACGGCACTCTCCATGGGCATGTCAAGATACTTTTTCCTCAAAGTTTTCCAGTGCTCTTGACAACAGCTTTTTGAGAAGTCTTTCCAGCCCCACTTCAATCTGTATTTTCAGATCATCACAATGCTTACAAGTTTGAGCTTCAGTTATTTACTTTCTACAAAAGCAACATGGCCACTCTAATCTGCATCACATTCTTCACATTGTTTTAGGATCAGTTATCTTGAATTCTGGTTTTTGTAAGGCAGTTCTCCACCAGGGGGTTGATACTCACAGCTTCCTCAGGAGGATCTGTGCTCCCATGCTGAGAAAAAAAAAATTCTATCAACTTAATCTCGTAGAAAGAATGGTCTCCTGACCTGATCTTTCAACTAGAAAAATATAATTATGCATCTAAATATCCCCAGGAGGGTTGGCTCTGAAGCAATCAAATATATTGGTTGCTTCAATCACTAATATAAGACATATGCATTTTATCCAGATGTCTATAACAATGTGAGCTGCTATATAAAAGCTGGAATATCAGCTATTTGCAAAAGCCAAAGATCGTTGCATATTACTGCAATGAGATCACTGCAAAGTTCTATGAAAAAAAGGTATGGACTCTTGTCACCTATATTTGACCACCTTCAGGGAAATTCCTACCTTTTTAAACTGCATGCTAACATACATATTCAAATTGGAGTTAAGATTGAATTAAGGTTATTTGATGTGTGTAAGATGGTACCTTACAAAAAAACTGAAAAGTAAATTTTGCATCACTTTGTCTGGATTTTCATTTGTTTCTAAGACTGAATTTTCATAACCAAGGTGAAGTGCATTTATTTACAAGCTGAAACATACGGACTCGAAAATTCACTTGGGCTTGATTTTCTCCTCCTTACCTAGATGTTTTGTATACATAATTATATTAATAAACACTCTTTTATTGCAGCCTGTAAACATCCAGATGCTAGTCTTCCACACTATGTATATGTCAAACACCACACTTCACCATAAAGAAAACCAAGTCATCCATCTGCACAACATATGCCTTCCAACCATTTTCCATTCACGGTTTTTTGGTTTTTTCTAATAGAGACTAATGCGGCTGGGACTTCGTGTGCAGGGAGTAGGGATCGCCAGAAATTCTGCTGTGGACCCCAGAAGGAGCCGAATCACGCCAAAGGTGAGAGTGCCTGGTGCCTACGAGAGCTTCCCATCACAACCCAGCACGCCGCAGAGTCAACTAGTGTTAACCCAGCAACAGAGTGAGCCGATGTGCCGGTAACTCCGGTCTCATCAGGAAAACCCAAGCTACAGCACTTCGAACAAAGAAGGTGCGTGTGATGAAGTTATTCGCAGAGGAAGAGCTCGCCGCGGAGCGTTCCCGTGTCCCGGCCGCAGCGCACCGGCCAGCCCACGTGCAAGGCGGAAAAAAAAAAAAAGAAGAAAACTTTCGTAAATTATCTTCATTACATCTTCATGCTACCTCTGTCTCATGCCCGGAAAGTGGCTTAGATCCCTCCTCGCTCCTTATAACAGAGCTTAATCTAGTTTAAATTAGCGACAGCGTGCGGCATCTCTCGGGGCTGCCGGCTCCCCTTCCTTCCCCAGCGCGGGACCCCCGGGACTGCGGCCTCTGCCCAGCTCCGACCCCGTCTCCCGCCGGGACAGATGCTGCGCTTGGGGCTCCCCCGGGCCGCCACAGCCCTCCCCCATGCCCCAGGAGGATCGCCCCCTCCCCCGGGTTTCTGCTGCTCCGCAGCGTCTCCCGGCTCCCACAAAGGGAGTGGGCGGCCCTGGAGGCGGCCGGGCGGAGTGGCCCCCGCCGCCGAGGGAGGAGAAAGGGCTCCAGGAAAGTGGGGGAGGGCAGCTGCAAAACGTGGAGATGGGGGAGAACAGGGATAAAAGAGATAGGGGAGGCCGTCGGGAAGAGTGTGGCAACGAGGCGGGCGGCACTGCCGAACCCCAGCCCGCCTCCCCCCGCGGGGCTCCCCTTGCAGCCCAACACGGCCCCCGCACTGGCTCTGCCCCGGGCGGCGGAGGGCACTCCGTCGGGGCTCCCCCAGCCCTGCGGGGGCGAAAGCCTGCCCCGGGACGTGGCGGGCGGCTGCAGACAAACCCCGCAGGCACTGCATTGCACTGCGCGGCACGCAGTGCACACCCCCCGCACCCCGAGAGCCCCGCACCCCCGCCGCCGCCCCGCTCTGAGCTCACCTCGGGGCTGGCTCTGCCCCGGCACCCACAGCAGCGAGGCCGCCGCCAGCAGTGCCCGGAGCAGGAGCAGCCGCCGCCCGGTGCTGCCCATCGCTGCCGCCGGAGGAACCCTGCCCGTCTTACCGACCCAGCCCGCCTTATATCCTCCCCCACCGCCCCCGGCCCGCCCCGCCCCGCACCACCGGGGGCTCGCTCACACACACCCCTTTCCCACACACACAGCCCACCTCCTCATACGGCCAGGGTGCCCCGCGCCCCGCACCGCAAGTGTCCGTCCTCACAAAACCGGCCCCGAAGCACTTGTAGCCCCGGCTGGGCGTTGCGAGAGATGCGTGGGGTGCGACGAGCCCGAATCCCGCAAGTAAAAAGTTCTGGTCAGCTGTAGTTACTAAACTGGAACTTTTTGCAAGGAGAGGGAGAAGGGAAAGGTGAGTATGCAAAATTACAAGATAAAAGTGTGGGGAGTGAGGAAGCATTGCTATGCTAATTCAATGTACAAATTTCTGTACGGCTGATATTTTCAAGTGTTAACAAAAATAAAATAAAATAAAAAAATTAAAAAATTATCTGTTGCGGCTTTCCTTGTAAAATTTTCGTCTGCTTTGAAACTTCACTCCCATGCTGATATTTTTCAAGCCCCTGTTCCACATAAAGACAGTAAATCAGCTATGTTTGTAAATGAAATGAGTTCTCAGTTGCTAAACTATGAGGTTGATTAGTTCTTGTCCAGTAGGAAATCTTTGCAGCTTTTTAATGATCAGCTACCTCACAAAACTAGCATAAAATGTAGCAAAAAATTTGTAGAGATTCTTCAAGATGGACACATTTATTCAAATGTTTCAGGAAAGTTTGTCCCACTTAGGCTTTATTGCTGTGAGGTTTGTCAGGTGGCAGAGCTCATATCTGTAATACTCCTTAAAGATGTTTTTGAGTAAGTTGCAGCAATGAACATTTTCCTGAGAAAAGAACTGTATGCCAAAATTGGTTGAGGTGGCAGAATTTTGGTCAAAAGATACATCCCTCAAATGCAAATCCCCTCTGACAATGCATGCTGCTTATTTTTTAGGAACACGTATTCCTCTGTAGGGTGTTGCATTAGAAACAATATTTCAAAATATAATAATTTGTATGTGTTGCATGACTGGAGTTAGTCTACAAGTGCATTCTTCAAATTGTGGGCAGCTGTTTGCAGAATTCAGACTTCAGCTTGTTTGGCTGGAGTTTTTTAATTGATCAGGATAAAGAAAGTCAGGAACATAATAGTTAATTTACATATGTTATGTAGAATAAAGCTATTTCTTATCATATAATTCAGAGTTATGAGTTATACTTAAGAAGCCATAGCAATGTTTATATTCAAAACAGGCAAACAGAAAAAAATCTATGGGTCAAGGAGATATAAAATGAAAAATTTTTGCCATAAAACCTTATCAAAGGCCTTCAAACCTTCAAATAAATAACACTCCACATCTGTCCCTTCCAACAGATCCATTCTTTGCTCACACCAGGAACTTCTTAAATTTCAAGACAGGCAAGGAGGAGGAAAGCAAAACATCTGTGGAGAGAAAAGTCAACAAATTTCAAGAGCCAAAGTGTCGCTTGTTCTAAAATCATAGAGGTCAGGTTAAGGAGTCCTCTGTGCAGGGTCATAAGTACCAGTTGGGAGCCAAGTACAAAGGAAAGAGAAAGAGGGAGCATCTGTGCAACATAAAATCCTGCCAATTTACAGCTTTATCATCAGTTTAACCATTTCTTCCAATAACAGCAAGCTCAGGAATACTATCTTGCACCCATGCAATGATAAGTGGCAGTTTGTTATTACATGCATTTATTCTCATCAGACTATTCCACAAGAGCTAGAGAATGTGTATTGAGATCCATTTCTGGACTTTGTCATCTGACTTGATCATATAGTTTAATGAAACATCTCTATACAGTTTGTAAATGCAAAATATATGTACATTAAACTAGTCTGCAGGAGTATATCAGCACTGTTCAGTGTCCATTATAATCATTGCCTGAGAAAACTGACTCTTCTCAAATTTCATTTGAGTACGTACCTTCTTGGAGAGAGGATTACTGTGTTTTATATTGTTTCTTTTTCCACAGTTCATTGCTAGTATTACAAAATACCAAGCAATCAGAGTGATCCCCATTTCAAGATACAGCACTATTAATATAATTCTTTCTTAACATAGTTTTCTAATGAGCTTTGAATGATCATGACTATAGATGAGAATTTCAGCTTCATAAGCAAGTGTAACTTCACATTTACACTGAGCAAGTTCATCAGGTATTATAAGTTGAAGATTAGAAATTTCTTAGTCTTTGGCAAACTAACCAAATGAGAAAACGGAATGCTGTGGTACAGGTAAGACCACGAATGACTGAAGAAATGTGCAAAATGTGCACAAGAATGAAATAATTTTAAAGCACTGCACTTTTGTGCATGCTTATACATTTCCCAAAAACCATCTGCATAATCTGAAACTCTGCGTGCTACTATGTCATATATGCATAAGATAGGTAGTAGAACTAAAAATTCACATAGTACAGGAGACATCTATATCATAAGACAATTAAGTTGCTGCTGCTCCAACCTCACTTGAAAGAAAGACAGAGATGGCACAAACTTTAGGAATGGTAATTTCTGAATGTCTCACACTTACTGGTCTTGCTAATTAAAATGTACTACAAAATAAAACAAGCAAATAAACAAATTTGAAATGTAAGACAAAATCTGTAAATACACAGAAAATACTCAGAGATGTGGTTATAGGGAGCTTAAAGTCTTGTTTTCTCTCTCACTATTTTCATGAATTAGAATTGCCTTACAGAGTGTTTCAGTTGCAAAGGAATAGAAAATCCTGATATTTAGGATGATGTAGGACAAAGTGAATATGTTAATTCAACCATCTGTGGATAAGAACCTATGGATAAAAACATTGCCGTTGGCAAAAACAGAGGTTTGGGAGAGTTCAAACCAGAGAACCCCCAAATACAGAGTCTGAATGGAACCACTCTGCTATCCTGCACCTAAGTAAACTCCAAGTGAACACCAAATATGTTTTTTCAGCTTTTGTCTGTGTTGCTGTGCTTAAGGCAGAGCTATTGTGTTAATGGCAGGTTCCCTTCAGGCCCCTCAGGAGCATGAGGTCACCTCCTGACCCCAGAGGGCAGCAGGGCATTCATAGCTGTCAGCAGTGCTGTGCTTTTCCTCATCCATAGCATTTAATAACTTGCATATCCCACCACCCCACCTTACCATCCATCCCACTCCCAAGGATCCTTTCTCCTCAATGCCTATAGGGGCATTTCTACACTTGTGAACACCACTGATGCGATAGCTGTTGGCATTGGGGTAGGGAATTTGGAATAGTTTCCAGAAGGAGGTACAGTGTTATAACCAGTTGATAAACCCTCCCAGAACTACATCTAATGGCTAAATAAGGCTTTTATCTGTAGCTGTACTGTACAACAAAAGGTTTCTAATTTTTAGCTAAGTTTTTTGGGGGCTTTTTGCATACATTTGTTATCCATTCTACCTCTCTGCCTCATTATCTCATAAGCAGAGTGTTCTGAAGAAGCATTCTGGAAATAATTATCACTTGTAATCAGAGGAAAAAACGATACAGTAAACTGCCTGTCTGCCATTAATATAAACATTCAGTCACTACTAAAAGCTGGTTTAGATAACTCTTCATCTGTTGTCCAGAACTCTTCCAGTATTTTTCTGCCTCTCTCGGAGAAGTACATCCAGAGGTTAATAAATCTGAGCTGTGACAGACTAAAGAGAGGAGTAAATTCAAAGCAAAAGGCGCTTCACAGCATACCCTGCCCACAACTTCCTCTCAACAGAGACACCACCTCTGCAGCTTGACAGGCTGGAAGTGCAAACCAAGGAAAGAGATGTAGGCAGGGGCATCTCCCAGGGCCCTCCTGGTATTCCTCAGCTGGTAGCCTGACACTCTGCTTCAGCAGCAAGTCTTTGCCCTTTCTATTCCTGAAAGTGACTTAAAGCTGAAACTTGAAATCTGTTACAATAATTTGTCTCTGAGATGACAAAGGCTTCCATGGGGATTAAAGAAAAACTGCTGTTTCAGAGGAATCTGAGAAGCAGCTGCCCCAGGAGCCTGCATAAAGCTGTCATGGGATGGTGGAAAAGGCACAAGCAGATTGAGTGCCTCCTGCCTGGCCAGAAAAAGGTACCATGCCAGCTGCCTCGAACCACAAGCTCCCTCAAGAGTTTGCTTCATGGTACAAGCTTCACTGACCTCAGGAGCTGCCTGAACTAAAGTGCTCACCTGAGAGGAGGGCTGGCTTTGGAGAGAAGCAGGAGCTTCGAGACAGTCTGGATGCCAAAAAGGGGAAGCCGAAGAAAGAAAACAGGAAACTGTAAATCCCTAGTGCTCCTTAGAACCCAAAGTCCCATAACACAGGGGTTTTTTTTAAAGCTTGGGCTATCACCCATGCCTGGTACAAGCCCGCACCTTCATGTACCTCCATGTCCCTCACACTGATAGCACCTAGGATTAGTGGTACCCTTCCATCCGGGCTTTGAAGGGTCAGTGAACAGCCAGTCACCCCCTCCTATTACCAGCCATAATCTGTACCAGGTGCTGCAGGCAGAGGTTCCAGCCACCTCCTGCCAGTCTGCTGGGAAGAAGATATCAAGGGCTGCAGCAGAGGTCAAAAACCCTGCCAAGGAGGAGATGTGGGCAGGAGTTAGGAGAGCACAGAAGCATCATCACTGGCTGTTTGTACATGGGGAATGTGCAGGGTCCTTCTGCCACCTAAATAAGAAAGTCACAACGGCAAATAGCATAATAAAAGTGCTTTAATAATAAGGTACTAATAAGAGAGGAATACAGACAGTAATTCCTAGATCTCTTCATTTTGGGAGCCCTGCTTCAATGCAGCATCAGATAGACACAATGAAAGCCGTGCTGTTGCCTCAGACTCTCTGTTTTGAAATTAAATACAGAACTATTTCATTATATTGTGGTAAATGTATCACCTGCCTGTATTGTGCCTAGGCACATGACTGTAGAGACACTACTTTTAATACTTGTCTCTTCATGGCTACCAAAGCAGGAGAATGCAGGTAGCAAGAGATACTGGGTAGCAGGAAGACATACCTGCAAAGGGTGATATGATTTGGTAATAGGTTAATAGAGCCATGCTGATTCCACATTGTGAAATAAGTGATGATGTTTTTCTATTGATTGGTTTCTGCTGTTTTCCTGATAGAATAGACTCATTGGCATCAACGATGTTGGAGGCAAGCCTTAGCATGTTTTCTGTGAACAGGTTACAGGCTGGAAATCGTGGTTATTGTCCAACAGGAATGATTGGATGGTACACTGTATTATGACAAATACAATC